CATGGTACAAGTGAATGTTCCATCGTCTTCAGGCTTTACAAAACCAATACGCAAGCTGCCATTGGATACTTGAGTGAATCGCTTCGGGTCTAAGGACTTTCTTCCTTTTTTACTCCAAGAATTCTGTGGACTTGGTGTTCCATCAGCACTGCAGCTTATAATGCCAGACGTGTACGCCATAACGGTTTGTTGGTCCAACGTCTTCTCAGTAAATCTTGCTGTTGAAAGGAGTAATGAAAAGTACTAATATCATAGCTACACTTTTGAAAGGTCAGAGGTGTACTTGTCTTACATGACATTGTCATGCATGTTAAGCCTATTTCTACATCCTAAAAAGATTTGTTTTCATACCATTAATATAGACAATGTAATATTGAACATATTCCAATCTCTGGCATTCATATGTTCCTCCATCAGACAGCTGTACATCATCGATGAACAGATCACCATTGTCTCCAGCCCTGATCCTTTGAGAAGTAGAGTTTGTTATTTCAAGCTTTACCCCATTGATGACCCATCTAGCATAATTGGTTTCATTGTGTATAGAGCAGCGAAGCTTTTCTCCGCTACCAATATCAAAATAGAGTTCAACTCTTTCCAACACATTCTTGTTCTCTGCAAAAAAAAAATGGTTCGGTTTGGAAGATGTTGTCAAAATAAGTCACATTTTGTGTAATTAACACCACAAGAGGAGATAAAAAAGTTGAGTATATTTATTTGCACTAAAGCTTAACTTGAGAAATTTTTTAACTTTTTCGTACTTAAAACTAAGTTACATTACTCCAAAGAAAGTCGTCAACAAAGGATTTTGTTGACAGAAATATCGGAGGTCAAGTAAATTCGTTACATCTGTGTATCTCAATTTACTCTGATTTCGAATGTCAATGAGAAGAAGAAAGACAGCTCACGAAAACCAGAATCACTAATCAGACCTAAAAATTTAGTTGCTTACTTGGTTGACACAACGCTTGAGAACCCTTGTCATCCGATTGACATTGAGGTGGAATATTTAACTTTCCATCAATGCGATCGCATGATGCAAGTTCAAACTCTTCTCCGGTGCAAGAGACATCGGACATTGCAAAAGGTATTCCCTCAGCCTTTATGTCTGACCCAATGAATTCCGCCAAAGCCTCTTCAAAGCCAAGTTGGCGACAAATAACTTTGACGTCGTCAAAGTCCCATTTATTCCTACATATCTTTGCCCATTTCCCCTTGTAAAACACTTCCACTCTTCCTCCATACTCCACATTTGCGCCATTCAAGCGAACAGGAACTTATGAAATTACAAAAAGTTCAATCCGTTAAGATAGAAAACACTAATTATCGAGAATCAAGAATGCCTATAAATCACGAAATGATAAATAGTTCATGCCAGTCTAAGTGTTTTGTTTTAAGGGAAATTCTAGGTGCAAATTATTCAGTATTCGAACGTTGGCCGCATCGTTCGTTGTCACGAAGTGGTTTCCTTGCTGCAATGTTTTACGACAAACTTCTTTTGCATTGATTTGTGACTGCGTTTTAAATTGTAAAAGTAGATGTTTTTTTAATAATTTTGGAACATTCAAGACGAGTTTTCTTTTCCTGAAAACGTTTTGCTTTCGGAGAACACAAAAGGGTGATTTACATTTTAAACTAGAAAGTCATTTTAAAGCATTTCCCACGGAATAATCAAGAAAAAGGCGTTTAGTTGAGTATAAGTAGAGTGAAAAATCGTGAAATTCCCTAGTTGCACGAAAGAGAGAGAAAAAGGAAACTAGAAGGATGCAATAGTTTTAAGAAGACTTGGTGAAGGGTTTGGAGGTTATGAAGTTCATGAAACCCAAATGCATAACTGCGCAGCTAGGTTCTTCTTTCGGCAGTAATTCAACTATAATCGTCTTAGGGTGTAAACAGTAGAAACCCACGAGATTTTTAGCGATAGACACCTTTTTAGAACGTAAAAGACACCCGAAGATGAACAATTATTGATCTCGGAAAAGTTTTCATATCTGAAGTGTTAGTAAATCTATCAAGTTACCATCTCTGGAGATCATGTGGATATTACATGAGTGCAATTCATTATTACCTTTGCAAAATTGTTGTTTCTTTTCCAAGTCGCTTTGACATCTGGTGGGAATGGTGCAGTTGTAGTGGGTGGACATCTCTGTAGCACTGCCACGTTCTGCGTACCATGTGTCATTAGCACCGTTGTTATAGTAGCCCATGGCCATGCAGGTTGAATTTTCATCTGCTTCATCCCATTGACTGGTACAAAGCTTTTGCCAGCTGCTGTTTGAGAATATCTTCATTGTACCGACAGATGGGTTCTTCTCTGTTTCAAAACGCAGGGGAAATTCTTCAAATATTAAAAAAAATTGACAAATAAGGATAACAATAAACAGCGTGAACTACTTCAGCATAGGTAAGTTCTTGCATTGTTGAAAGATTCTTTTCAGTTAATGGGGGAAGAATTTCCTATTAAGCTAATATGATTTTCTTTGCCAGCAGGTCAATGCCAAAATGTTTTTAATAACTGAGGCCCTCGCATTTTTAAACATGTTTCTTGTCATTAGATGATAGTTAGCACTACCGGATTAGCTAAAAAGGTATTGCTTACGGGCAGTCCAACAAAATTCGTAATCGCCATTGCGCTGATAGTGCAGACTTCTTACAGAGCGATAGTGATAGTGGAGATTTGTTTTGTTTCTTTCAAGAAAAGCTTGGTGAATTCCATACATGTACAAAGTTTGTGCATTCATGAAGGATTTCTGACTTATAATGAACTCCTGACTTTTGATAATTTGTGCATTTCACATACTTTGCGTGGATGATTATGTGATTAAAGTTCAACCTTAGCGGTTCCATTCATTTGTTGTTATTCTAGCTTTTATTCCTGAATTAGTTCATTTTTGTTTCAACAAAGAAGTTTTCATCCACTGAAATCAGAAAGGCTACAATTTGTATGTTACCTTCTTGGCAACTGAACATGTTGTTACATTCTCTTAGCATTGCTCCGGTCCCATCGCAGTGTTTCCCACCATGTGCTGGTTCTGGATTGGCGCATTCTCTCTGTCTTGTTTGTATACCACCAACTGGTTTGGTACAGATACTCCAGGAGCTCCACTCACTCCAGCCACCATCCACTAACAATGATGTAAACAGAAACATTTGATAAACAACCACAGACGACATTTTCGGATCATTTAACAAAATAAAGTATGTAGGACAGAGGTGCAGTCTTTATTTCTACCTTTCTCTATAATTACTTTGAATGTTTATGTTAACATTTGGTTACGGTAAACTCATTAATTTGGTATTTGACGCGATGCCGTAGGGTTTCCAATAAACTTATCGAGACACGCTTGTGAGGGCAAAAACATAATTTGAAGGCGATAATGCGATGGGGAATCCGTGCCGGTCTGTCTTTACCTTTATTCCCATGTTGATGGTTTCCAGACAGACCCCGTCCTTTATATGTGCAAATACTCTGGCGTGCATAATCAGTTAATGTACAAATGCACAATACACAAACTTTTGTTTAAAAACAACATTTTGAGCCCTCTTTTTTAGGGGGAACGAAAACAAACACAACGGGAAACCGTAACAAATTTCAATTATGAGTCTCAGTAGCTTTTCAAGCGAATTATGCAGCAGAAAAGGCCTTCCTAAAAACTCAGTCTCACCTTCAGATCAGGTAAAATCGAAATGGTCTGCTTCTTATTGGTTCCCTAACCAACATCAAGGATGAATAGGAATAATGGGAACTCGATCCTCAAGCCTAACGATCTACGTATAAAAAGGTCACAGAAGCAATTCCCACTCGGGAACGGAATTGAGAACACCACTCTACCTTTCCCTGAAAGACCTCGCTATTGCAACACTATCTTCAAACTACAGCTGAAGAGACTCGTGAAGTGCCGAAACCGTCGATATTGTTGTAGCCACTGTGAACAATTGCACCAATGTCCGCCTTTCACAACTCTCTAGCGGAATAACTTATACAAAGTCTTGGTGGAGAAGACGAAAACGATATCTCACAAGAAAAAACATGTAAATAGGCAAACGCTCAAAGGAAAGCACTCGGCGAACATTATAAAAAAAACAATGAAAAAATAGCCAAATTAAGGAATGAGATTTATGACTTTAAAGAGCTTATTTATACACTCGCAAATAAAATAGATGGAAAACATAAGTGTGCTTGTTAAGCAGTATACTATCTAGATATACGATGAATAAACACGTGGGCAGACATTATGAATTAATTTATTCTCACCCCC